TAAATAATCGAGTGCTGTTGACCAGATTTTTCTGGAGCGGACTCTGATGATAATCAGATTTATAGGTCCATGTTAGTGTTTTGTTTAACGGTGCTCACTCACTGATCATACATGACTTATATGATCTCACCTGCCCAGATCTCTAAAGTAATCTGAGTCCATGGACCTGACACAACAGACAAGCATGGCTACTTCCACGCCAAACAGGGAAGTTTTGTTTTGTTAAAACGTTGCACTCAGCCTTCATTCACTATATACACAGCAGCAGCTCTCAATGACACCTGTAGCGTCTGACCATTCAGAGAGTGAAAATATCTGATGCTGGAGACTGGCGATGTACAGTTCCACCCCTCGCCCATGCTAATCTCACATGTGATTAAGTACACTGGTAACACACTGGCATGTTTTGTTTTGTTTAACGGCGCACTCAGCAGTCATTCGGCTATATGACGGCGGACTCTAAATAATCGAGTCTGGAGCAGATAATCTGGTGATTTACACCATGTTTTGTTTTGTTTAACGGTGCACTCAGCAGTCATTTGACTATATGACGGCGGACTCTAAATAATCGAGTCTGGAGAAGATAATCTGGTGATTTACACTATGTTTTGTTTAACGGTGCACTCAGCAGTCATTTGACTATATGACGGCGGACTCTAAATAATCGAGTCTGGACCAGACAATCTGGTGATTTACACCATGTTTTGTTTTGTTTAACGGCGCACTCAGCAGTCATTTGACTATATGACGGCGGACTCTAAATAATCGAGTCTGGACCAGACAATCTGGTGATTTACACCATGTTTTGTTTTGTTTAACGGAGCACTCAGCAGTCATTTGACTATATGACGGCGGACTCTAAATAATCGAGTCTGAACCAGACAATCTGGTGATTTACACCATGTTTTGTTTTGTTTAACGGCGCACTCAGCAGTCATTTGACTATATGACGGCGGACTCTAAATAATCGAGTCTGGACCAGACAATCTGGTGATTTACACCATGTTTTGTTTTGTTTAACGGAATGCTCAGCAGTCATTTGACTATATGACGGCGCACTCTAAATAATCGAGTCTGAACCAGACAATCTGTTGATTTACACCATGTTTTGTTTTGTTTAACGGTGCACTCGGCAGTCATTCGTCTATACGACGGCAGGATGTAAGCAATCGACTATACGACGGCAGGGTGTAAGCAATCGACTATACGAAGGCAGGGTGTAAGCAATCGACTATATGACGGCAGGATGTAAGCAATCGACTATACGACGGCAGGATGTAAGCAATCGACTATTCGACGGCAGGGTGTAAGCAATCGACTGACTGACTGACTGAGTTTGGTTTTACGCCGCTATTAGCAATATTCCAGCAACATCACGGCGGGGGACACCAGAAATGGGCTTCACACATTGTACCCATGTGGGGATTCGAACCCGGGTCTTCGGCGTGACGAGCCAACGCTTTAACAATTAGGCTACCCCACCGCCCCTGTAAGCAATCGACTATACGACGGCAGGATGTAAGTAATAGTAAGCAATCGACTATACAACGGCAGGATGTAAGCAATCGACTTTACATATACAATTTACATATGTTTTTTAGTAAACGGTAAACATTATCTCGTCACATTAGGCCTGGCATATTGCCGGTGTGATGTTGAATTGTCTCTCACACTGTCAAGCACTCACCCACTGACTTACGGTATTGTGTGTAACTATGTTTGTAGAACTCCCTTCATGCATTGTGATCAGTGATGTAGTGCATCAGAGAACCGAAGTAAGTCTGAGTGGTTTCTACAACTCGGAAGTCGAACTCTTGCAGGCATTCTTGCGTCACGGTGTAGCTGAAATATTGCTGGTGTGACGCTAAATGATAGCTGTCAAGTACTCCCTGACTCCCCGTTATGTGTGTATCTCTGTTTGTAGAACTCCCTTCATCCATTGTGATGAGTGATGTAGTGTATCAGAGAACCGAAGTAAATCTGAGTGGCCTACTTCCAGACATTGTTGTGTCACGGTGTAGCTGAGATATTGCTGGTGGGACATTAGTTGTCGCTCGTTCACTGACCAACTCACTCACTAACCGTAATTTGCGTGTATTGTTGTTTGCAGGATTCCATTCATGCGTTGTGATAAGTGATGATATCAATCAGACAACCAAAGTGAACCTGAGTGGTTTCCACTGCTCGGATGTCGTACTGTTTCAGGCATCCTTGCGTCACGATATGGATAAAATATTGTCGGTGTGACGCTAAATTGTCGCTCACTCACCCACTGGCTCCCCGTAATTTGTGTGTACTGTTGTTGTAGGACTCACTTCGTGCATTGTTATCGGTGATGTAGTGCATCAGACAACCAAAGTAAATCTGCGTTGATTCTATTGCTCGGAAGTCGAACTCTTGCAGACATTCTTTCGTCACGATGTGGCTGAAATATTGCTGGTGTCATGCTACGTTCTCGCTCACTCAACCTGACTCACCGTAATGTGCATATCTCTGTTTTCAGAAATCCCTTCATGCGTTGTGATCAGCAACGGAATGGATCAAACAACCCAAGTAAACCTGACTGGCTTCTACTGCTCGCAAGGTTTACACTTCCAGGTTGTGGGTTCTGTGTGTTAATGTTTGACTGCACCTGTCACAAGTATCACAGATGGAAGCTTTTTGTATATAGTTTTCCCAGTAGTGAACAGTACATACAAAACAAAGCAGAAATTTACTTCATTGTTTATTCGTCAATTTGGTTGTGTGTTTTCTGAAGTTGTAGCTGCATAGTGAAGAAAGAATCTCAAAATGAAAAGTTTTATAGAAAACTCTATCGTGAGAAGTTATAAGAAACGTTGTTATAACGTTGTGAGAAACCCAAAGCATAACGTAAATTTGCAACATCGTCATCTCAATGTGACATGACGTTATAGAATGACGTGATGCTAACGTTAACGTTGTGACAACGTTATGTCATGACGTTGCCAATCTACAGCCTTCCCACAGCTTGTCCAATATTCCAATGCATGTGTTTGTTTATTGTCGCATTGAACAATCAGTAACATCTGGATGTGGGATGTGGAATGACTGTCGCTCAAGTGATTACCACTGAAACCCGGGGGGCACGGGTACGGTGCTGACATACCGGAACATCATCAAAGCGAAGGTGGAACTACAGGTGTTAAGCAGACAAAGGGGTGCAAATATATATATGCATCACATTACCGTGCAGTAGACGACGTGTGCGCTACTTATCCAAGACTGAGCGCATTTACGGGGCCTGTGGGCTTTGTTATGAGAAAAATCGATGATCTGCAAGCATTACTGCTGTGCACGAGTATCCATGTACACTTGGATCAATACATGGCAAAGTGATGCAACAGGTGTGTGATACAGTTAAGAATCGAATACTCTCCCACTTGTCATATGCATTGCCACAAATTCACACAAAAGGACCAAATAGGCTGATAGTGATCATCATTTAGCTATTTTGGATCTTCAGAATTTATAGTCAAAATGGATAAGGTAAGGTGCTGACAAACCGGAACATCATGACAGGTGTACACAAAGGGATGCAAATATGCTCATCAAATTGCGGCGCTATTTACTCAAGACTGAGTATATATGTACCTGAATATGTCCATCTCAATAGCATATTCGAAAACGATGCGCTTCTCAAAATATGATTGAAACTGTGGGGTTGATGAGTAATTATATTTGGCTTCATTTGACTATACCGCATTATTTGATGTTAAGGTATCTTATTTCCCTTGTTGATCACTGGATTGTCTGGTCCAGATTCGATTATTTGCAGACAGCCAACATATTGCTGTAATATTGCTGAGTGTGGCGTAAAACTAAAATCAACTTACATGTATTTCCTTTCCTGGGCCTTCTTGCCTCACGGAATGTAATGTTGCACTGGGCGATACTAAGAAGGAAGGAGTTATCTCCCTTTGACATACAACCGTTGTCACAAATGGCCATACTCGCTACCTTCAGACCTCCCACAACCCACAGAGGATTAATAAGCACACGGACATGAACACCACAAACGAAGACGCACAACTATACTAATCATAACTATCACTGACTGTAATTAACGATCGTTTTCTCCATTCGCAAATCAAAAGTATTGTCGTCTCACAGCACGGAAGCTTGGTCAAATGTGATGTGGCCTGTCATTGTCCGACACTAAGATGGAAAGAGTGATCTCCCTTTGACATAAACGATTAAACAGCTGTTGGAAGTACATATATGTACTGACCCTTTAAGGCAGATACAGCTTTTTGAGAAATGGGGAGGGGGTGCTTATTCTTGAGAAATGGGGTGCACACTCTATTTTCACGAGGGTTTCAGTTGTTGCATAATAATATTGGGGTTGCGCAGTTCTGCACCCTACACTCCCCTCTCGATCCACCTGTTTTATTTGCCCTACCACTGTGACATAGGTGAAGCAAGTTTCGATTTTCTCTATGTTCAGGATCCCGTTGCTCACAAGGGATAATTTAGTGGAGAGTTCTGTTTTTTTTCAAAATTACATATTTTCAGAGGCTTAAGGCCAGCCTCCCATGTGCCATATTTTGTACAGATTACGTTACGACGTTGAGGGGCGCCCATGTTGCAGAGGCACTGGTCGTATTCCATATGCATCACGCAAGGGTCATTCACATAGTATGAATAAATTGAATATGGTCTTATCCACAAAGCGTTCTTAGCACTACGACATTCCTAACCCTATGATAATTTATGGAGTTACGATAGGTCGTAACATTACGAACGCTTTGTGGTTTATTTCTCAAATTCTGTTTACATTATGTTGTTTTGTCAAAGTGGGAATATATTCGTAACCTGTTGGGGAGAGAGTGACACTATATGGCCTCACACTCTGATGGAGAGTTACTTGGGCATTCCTTTCTACATCACACTACCAATAGTCCTTCTCCATTATTGTTGCCAGTTTCTCGTTATGTGGTCCATAGAACCTGTCCAGAATATAACGTGTATCTGTCATCATGTCACCAGCTGTCCGGGGGGGTCTGCATCTGATTGGCTGCTTTTGGACCGGTGATGCTGAGCAGAGAATCTAGAAATAAACATTTATAACGTGTAGTGGTTGAGATTGAAATAAGCCCTGCTGCAGAGCTTGGTTCAGTCTCCGCAGCGCTGTGGGACGGATAACTTGCCGTGTTGCTTATGTCAAGATATTTAAAGGAACGTACGTTTATTATATGATGATGCGATACAAATTATAATACCGCTGTCTGGGGCGATGGGGTAACCTAGTGGTTAAAGAGTTCGTTCATCACGCGGAAGACCTGGGTTCGATTCCCCACATGGGTACAGTGTGTGAAGCGTGATATTGTTGGAATATTGTTAAAAGCGTCGTAAAACTAAACTCACTCACTAATACCGCTGTTAAGCAAATGTGAAGTACTACGGTGCGGGTAGTTGCATCATAACGATCTAGCTTGTCACAATTATATATCTAGCTTGTAAACACCAGTATGGTAACTAAAGTAGTGAAGATGGTGAAAGAGACGTTTTTAATAGGGAATACTATCAAATGTGTCATACAAATCAGGCGACGACTCATCAAACCCATGACGTAATAGCATCACATAAGTTCAAGCCCACCAGACAATGGAATTCGTTGCCATTTTCTTTCAGAAAGAGATTGTTGTATCTCAATGGTTATACTTTTAGTGATTGCGTTAAATTTTGGTTTTTGTAGGTTGGAGCATTTACACGAGGAGTGATCTTTCTTTTCCCACCACCTTACGTTGTCGACATCTGAAGCGTAGCCACATTTGAGCTCTCAAGGTCCGCTCTTATGATGAAACGTATGATCTATATGCAGTACCTGCGAAACTGAAAAACAACGAACTCACTCAAACCCAGAAACTTGAAGATGTCTACCAGATGTTTTGTTTTATCGAACATGTAGTCCTCGAACGTTTGAACGTAGATCTGTTTTCTGGGGAACAATTTCATCCAGTCCAACAGGAACACGTGGTAGATTCCTCTCCGTAGATCAATCTGTTGAAACATATTATAATAATTGGCAACATCACAACGTATGGTATGGATTTACAACTTCTTTACTATTTACAACACGACGTTTCTGGGCTACTTCTTGCCCCTCCATCAGGTGAATGACAGAATATGATTACGAGCAAAATATATAGTATGTACAGGACGCCAGTGAGATAGTATTACAGATTGAGATGTACAGAGATCGAGTGATGTGTTTTGATAGGTTTTGATTGAGATGTATAGAGTTCAAAAGATAAAGCAGTACGTTTGTGCAATGGATGTAAAGCGTGTTTATACAACGAAATAGCTCGATATACATGCTAAGATTGATACGAGGCCACTTATGAAAACAATGATGGGAGAACAAACATATGAAAACACACATCAAAGCATGTACAGTGATTAAGGGAAACTTGGGGAAACATGAACATTGAAAGCCTATCATTCTATGCACCAAGCATTCGGTAGGAAACACCCTGATTCATGTTAATTTCAGGTTTGGCGCGGTGGATCCAGATGGCCTCAATCAACTTTCTTAACCGCCAATTCATAAGTATCTTCTAGCTCTCGTTGGAAACTGTGGGCCGGCTTATCTTCTCTGGACGTGTGTTCTCTCTCTTTTTGTATACATGCGTATGACTCTCAAATTCTCTCTATTTCTTTCTCTCTCTCTCTCAATTTCTCTGTTTTTTTCTTTTCTTTCTTGCTCTCTTTTTCTAGCTCTCATGGCTGGGCGTGGCAGTGTATATCACGGCAGGGTACTGGGGTCAAATACTGGAAGAATGAAAACACCCTGATAACGAACCTCTTCTGTAAGGGAATCAGCGATGGTGTAGTTGTAGCAACATCCACGGAGGGACTGCCACTGCAGACAGTCGTTGAATGAGTCGATCTCTATGATAACCAGGTCATGGAAGAGTTGTTGTGACACCACTCTTCCCAGTTCAGCGGACTTGGAAACGTAGAAGGAGAAGAGTCTGAAGAAAAGTCACTCTCCTTTACTCACATTATACTCAGTGTCTTTTGTTTCTGCAGCTATGTATCACTTTCCCCACATTGTACCTCATTGTCTCTCATTATATATCATTGTCTCTCATTATATAGCATTGTCTCTCATTATATATCATTGTATCTCATTATATAGCATTCTCTCATTACATATCATTATCTCTCGTTATATATAATTGTCTCTCATTATATATCATTCTCTCCCATTATATATCATTCTATCATTATATATCATTGTCTCTCATTATCTCCCATTATATATCATTATATATCATTGTTTCTCCTTATATATCATTGTTTCTCATTATATATCATTGTCTCTCATTATATATCATTGTCTCTCAGTTCATAGCATTGTCTCCCGTTGCACATCATTGATTCTCATTACATATCACCGTTTCTCATTATATATATACTTATCTATCGCTGTACATCGTTGTTTTTCATTATACTATTATTGTCTCTCGGGTAGTATAATTGTCTCATTACATATCATTGAATCTCCTTATATATCAATGTCTCTCACTATATGTCGTTTTCTCTCGGGTTATATACTTGTCTCATTATATATCATTGTATCTCATTATGTATCATTGTATCTCATTATATATCATTGTCTCTCATTATATATCATTATATATAATTGTCTCTCATTATATATCATTCTTTCTCATTATATATCATTGTCTCTCATTATATATCATTGTATCTCATTATATATATTGTCTCTCATTATATGTCATTGTCTCTCGTTATATATATTGTCTCTCATTATATATGATTGTCTCTCGTTATATATATTGTCTCTCATTATATATATTGTATCTCATTACATAGCATTGTCTCTCACTATATATCATTGTCTCACGGGTTATATACTTGTCTCATCATATATCATTGTCTCTCATTGTATGTCATTGTCTCTCATTATATATCATTGTATCTCATTATATATATGTCTCTCGTTATATATCATTGCATCTCATTATATATCATTGTCTCTCATCAGATATCATTGTCTCTCATTATATATCATTGTATCTCATTATATATATTGTTTCGTCATTTGACGATATGTCATTATCTCACATTACGTATCGTTGTTTCTCATTGGGCATTATTGTCTCTCATTATGCAGTACTATCTCAATGTGCGTCATTACATGTCATTATTATACACTGTTGTGTCTCTCATTATATAACATTGTCCTACGTTTGTCAACGGGTTGTTTTAGATGTTTTTTGCCGTTGTACCAAGCAAGCGTGGCGCCAAAGTGACGGTAACTCCCACACATTACATGGACCTCACTAGTTTGTGTCTGGAAGGTCCGTGACGTCTCTAGACTGCATGTACACCATTTTACTGGACTGCAGGAGACTCTACTGTGTCTGACGTGTCATCTTCGTACGTGTGCGTAAATACGCGTGTTCGTATGTGTGTATGCGTGAGTGCACCTACTGCCTGCCTGGGCGTGCTTGAAGGATTCCTCACCCGTCTACTATGTGTGTATGTTTGACCAAGCTCTACCTGTCTGTGGGGTTCCTCAGTGACAGGATGATCTTCGCCCGCGGGTTGAGATGGTGAATGATATCAGCATTGGTCACGCATGGCTCGGTACAGCCTTCGTTGCCCGGCAACATATCCCAGAAGTCGTTATAGGAGAAATAATCTGGTGCTGCATCGCCTACAAAAAACACATCACATTAGATCATTATGTCAGTTTATTCCTTTTGCAGAAGTAGTTTCTGTTACAAGTGAGTGTTAAATAGTGATTAAAGGATACAGTATATGACTGTTGTTTTACTTGTTATGGAAATAGTTCGTTCTACTGATCTATTTTGCCACCGTTTTCCTGCTGTGTGTGGGCGGTGGGGTTACCTAGTGGTTAAAGCCTTCGCTGGTCACAATGTGTCACAGTCACATTTCTGGTGTCCCCCGAAGTGATATTGCGGGAGCATTGCTAACAAGCGGCGTACGGCTAAAGTCACTCACTCAACAGTGTGTGTGTGTGTGTGTGTGTGTGTGTGTGTGTGTGTGTGTAAATAGTAAAGTTGCTCAACTGTGTGTTTATATCAATAGGAAAGATGTTCTACATTGTATTTATCATAGGCAAGATTTTCTTCAATGTCTATATATCAATAGGAAAGATATTGTAAAGCTGTTCTACAGTGTGTATATTTGAACATGAAAGTTGTTCTACAGTGTGTATACATCAATAGGAAAGTTGTCCTACAGTGTGTATACATCAACAGGAAAGCTGCTCTTACAGCCTTCGTTGCCCGGCAACATATCCCAGAAGTCGTTATAGGAGAAATAATCTGGTGCTGCATCGCCTACAAAAAACACATCACATTAGATCATTATGTCAGTTTATTCCTTTTGCAGCAGTAGTTTCTGTTACAAGTGAGTGTTAAATAGTGATTAAAGGATACAGTATATGACTGCTGTTTTACTTGTTATAGAAATAGTTCGCTCTACTGATCTATTTTGCCACCGTTTTTCTGCTGTGTGTGGGCGGTGGGGTAGCCTAGTGGTTAAAGCCTTCGCTGGTCACAACGTGTCACAGTCACATTTCTGGTGTCCCCCGAAGTGATATTGTGGGAGCATTGCTAACAAGCGGCGTACGGCTAAAGTCACTCACTCAACAGTGTGTGTGTGTGTGTGTGTGTGTGTGTGTGTGTAAATAGTAAAGTTGCTTCAATGTCTATATATCAATAGGAAAGATATTGTAAAGCTGTTCTACAGTGTGTATATTTGAACATGAAAGCTGCTCTACAGTGTGTATCCATCAACAGGAAAGATGCTCTACAGTGAGTGAGTGAGTGAGTGAGTTATTATTTAACGTCACATCGGCAATATTTCAGCCATATCGTGACGAGAACACTTGACATTGAAACAGAATATATATAGAGATTATAAAACCTGCCGACAAAGGACAGTAAAGCAACTAGAGTATCACAGATATATATGTAAAACTAGTAATTGAATCTAAAACATTTTAACTATAGGGGACAACACAATATAAAAATGGGCTATAGATCGCTAACAACTGAAGGTTGATCACCATACTACGGACCATGGGGACTTACAGTACATTTGCTTCCTACATGGGCCCTAGCTGGATTTACATCATCCCCTCAGCTGTTAGCAATTGAGATATATCTAGCCATACATTAAAATTACACATATTCTACGATTAAAAAACGGAAAGTTGAAATTTACTTTGAATGTTTTGGGACTTACGTACCCTCTCAGGAGGACAATAATTTTACAGTACTTTAACCCCCCTCGAGGATACAGCCACTAACAATCTGTGTTACTAATTCAAACTTCCAATCATAAAATATTTAGCTATTTACAAATCTGTTAACAAATTTAATTCTTTTAAAAGAGCAATAATTAAATGAGGAAGATCCATCAAAGATCGGGATTTGAAATAGATATCCCTTGTGATGGAGTACTCAACACAGTCAAGCAAGACATGCTTGACCGTGATTCGTTCATCACAAGGGATACAAAACGGAGGATCTTCACCTTTTAATAGGTAGTCATGCGTATATCTTGTTTGGCCAATACGACATCGTCGTATGATGACCTCTTCAAATCTGGACTGGCAACCCAAGTAGGTGTAACCAATGTAATGTACTAGGGACCATGGGGACTTACAGTACATTTGCTTCCTGCATGGACCCCAGCTGGATTTACACCATCCCTTCAGCCATTGGCGACAGAAGAGAAACCTAGCCATAAATAAAAAGTACACATATTCTACGATTAAAAACCCGGTACACTTAAATTGACTAAATGTTTTGGGACTTACGTACCCTCTCAGGAGGACAATAATTTTACGCTACTTCAACCCCCTTTGAGGGTACAGCCACTAACAATATCAGTTACTAATTTAAACTACCAATAATAAAATATATATCTATTTACAAATCAGTTAGCAAGTCTAATTTTTTAAAAAAGGCAATAATTAAATGAGAACTTATATGACTAAAAAGATCCTTCATAGTTTTACGTTGAAGTGAATATCCCTTGTGATGGAATATTCAACACAGTCAAGCAGGACATGCTTGACCGTGATTCTTTCATCACAAGGGATACAAAACGGAGGATCCTCACCTTTTAATAGGTACTCATGAGTATATCGTGTGTGGCCAATACGACATCGTCGCATAATGACCTCTTCAAATCTGGACTGACAACCCAAGTAAGTGTAACCGATATAGGGTTTTATTGCATGTAATTTATTGATACCTACTTGGGTGTCCCACTTCTTTTGCATCAGATCACGGATATAAGATCTTATAGCAGCTTTGTAATCAGAGTATGGGATCAGAAGTGGTGTCACAGATGTGTTGAGTGCAGCCTTAGCAGCAATATCAGCAATTGTGTTCCCAGAAATGCCAACGTGGCTGGGTAACCAACAAAAGACGATATCGCATTGGCCAGTAGTAAGTTCATTATACAATTCAATAATTTCTAATAAAAGTGGATGTTTGCAAGAAAGATTATTAATAGCCTGAAGACACGAAAGAGAATCTGAAAAGATGATATATTGTTTATATTTACGGTGTTTATTAATATATTTAAGAGCTGTTAGTATTGCGTTTGCTTCTGTTGTGAAATTGAACTGTCATTGGGTAATCTGGAAGATATTGTTTTGGACCCAATGACAGTGGCACAAGCCACCGCGCCACCATCCTTGGATCCATCTGTAAATAAGGATTTATATCTATTACATTTATTTCTTAATTGACTAAATTCTTGTTTATACTGTAAATCATTAGTTTCGGATTTTTTAAATGTGGTTAATGTTATGTCAACGTCTGGCCTCACCAATTGCCAAGGAGGAGAAGAAAGAAGACGAGAAGGAGATATATTCTCCAGCTCAATGCCGGCAGTAGAAAGGAATGGTTTAATTCTGTGCCCAAGAGGCGGAACAAGAGAAGGCTTTTTGTTATAAAAATCCTCATAAAGAGGATTGAAGACACAGTTAAATGCAGGGTTAGACTCATTAGAATATAGTTTTGTAATATATTGTAAAGATAATTCAATACGTCGTTGGGAAAGAGATGGCTCATCTGCCTCAACATAGAGACTATCAACTGGAGAAGTTCTAAATGATCCAAGACAAAGTCTTGGAACCCTTGGTGGTGAACAGAATCAAGTAGTTTAAGGTTGCTTTTGCAGGCTCCACCATATACGATGGAGCCATAATCAAGCTTCGAGCGGACCAGTGATCTATATAGGTGTAGGAGGGTAGTTTGGTCCCCTCCCCACTTTGAATTAGAAACGACTTTCAATAAATCGAGTGCCTTCATGCATTTAGTTTTTAGGGATTTAATATGTGGTAGAAACGTTAAGTGTGAGTCAAAAACAATACCCAAGAACTTGGCCTCCTTCACAACTTTGATGGGTGTGCCATTTAGAGATAGTTCTGGGTCTTTATGCGGTTTGTATTTACGGCAGAAATGTATACAATTAGTTATGGATTTAGACAATTTATAGCCATTTTCGAGACACCATTTATCTATCTTGTTTAAACACAACTGCAATTGCCGTTCAATAGTATGCATATTTTTACCACGACAAGAAATATTAAAATCATCCACAAAAGGTGATCCATCTATTGAATCATTTAAAACCTTTGATAAACTGTTTATCTTAATGCTAAACAGTGTGACAGACAAAATACTGCCTTGAGGGACACCCTGGTCCTGATTATAATGGTCAGACAGGGTAGAACCCACGTGGACTTGAAATTGTCTGTCATGTAAAAAGTTGGATATAAATTGAGGCAAACGGCCCCGTAATCCAAAATCATGTAAATCTCTTAAGATACCATGTTTCCACGTAGTATCGTATGCTTTTTCTAGATCGAAAAAGATCGACACTGCATGTTGTTTATTAATTATGGCATTTTTTACAAAAGATTCCAAACGCACTAAATGATCAATTGTACTTCTGTTTTTACGGAAACCACACTGTATATCAGTTATTAGGTTGTTGGTTTCCAAGTACCAAACTAATCGATTATTGATCATGCGTTCCATGGTTTTGCAAACGCAGCTAGTCAGTGGAATTGGTCGAAAATTAGAAGGATCGGTATGATCACGTCCAGGTTTTGGGATTGGAACAATTATTGCATCATGCCATGAAGAAGGAAATTCACCAGACGTCCAAATACTACCAAAGATATGTAAGAGTGTATCTAAACAGGATTCTGGTAAGTGCTTCAGGAGTTGATAATGTATGTTATCAGCTCCTGCAGCAGTATCGTGAGCTTGGTCAAGAGCTTTATGAAGCTCATGAAGAGAAAATAATTCATTATAGTCTTCCCCATTATCCGTGTTGAAATGAATAGGTTTCTTTTCTTGTTGCTGTTGATATTTTTGAAATTTAGGTACATAGTTAGAGGAGGAAGACTGCTTAGCCAAAGTTTCACCTAGTTTATTTGCAATATCTGAAGTATCTGTTAATAATTCATTTCCATTTTTAAGGTGGTGGATGCCAGTTTTAGAGCCTTTACCTTTGATTTTTTGTACCATATTCCATACCTTGGACATGGGCGTACGTGAATTAATGTTTGATACATAATTTCGCCAAGATTGACGTTTACTTTGCTTAAAGGTACGCCTAGCTTTGGCATTTAAGATCTTAAATTTATTGAGATTATGGACCATAGGATGGCGACGGAAACAGTGTTCAGCTTTTTTCCGTGCCTTCCTTGCTTGTTTGCAGTTGTCATCAAACCATGGTTTTCGTATATGAGCAACAGCAGAGGACTTAGGAATACATTCATCAGCAATTATATTTAGTTCATCAGAGAAACATTTTATGGGATCAAGAGTGCCCATGAAAAGTTCAGGTTTCAATTTGCTAGTGCAAAGCGTTTCATATAAAAGCCAATCAGCTTTTTTTAAAATTCCATCGTGATGACGGAGGAACGTCAGATGGGGACACAGGTTTCAAAATAGTTGGAAAGTGGTCACTTCCACAGAGGTCATCGTGGACTGACCATGTGAATTCATTCAACAAATTTGAATCTGCAAGAGACAGGTCTAGTGACGAATACGTACCTGAAGCAGGATGTAGGTAAGTTTCTGAGGCATCATTAAAGATGCACAGGTCATTATTAGATATAAAATCCTCGATCACTTTTCCTTTTTGATTAATGTATGGACTTCCCCATAAAGGATTGTGCCCATTTAGATCACCCATGATGATACATGGTTTTGGGAGCTGGTCGTATAGCTTTTGAAGCTCACTCTGATGAAGACCCAAAGAAAGAGGAAGATATAAGGAGCAAAGTGTAAATGTAATATGC